GATCGCACGTCTAATTACATTTAATTAGGCAAAATGTTAATGGAACATTCAGCATGGGGATGATGTAATTAGCCCCGAGATTCAAACTCGATAAATTGCCGTTCATAATTAAAGCGAGTCTAGTATTTTGAGTAATATGCATTTAATTATGTCTCATATTCACGAAGCGCATACAAACAAACACACACACACACACTCAATAGAGAAAAAAACTCCGAATCGAAAAACTTTCACTTAAATTACGAATGTTTTGCGTTATATATGCGCGCAGGCCATCGCTCCTACACAATTAATTTGATTATTCGCTTTCACTCTTTGTGCGCGACGCATTCACAATTCTCATTAGTCAAAAATCGTTGCAATTTCATTTTCGTCGGAACTTTTATTCTTATTTATTATTTAGTTATAATCATTATAATTCTGATGGACTGAATATTCCACTACCATCGTCACCGCACATCGATGTGCACACACAAATACAGATTTGCCAACACATTTCATCCAGTCAGTACATTGTACTTAATATAAATATTAAAGTGCTGTTGTTCATATGAATGAATGGTACGAACGAGCATTTCCAAGAATTTTGATTGCGTCGAATGCCCAATGTGTACGCGTATTGCACTCGAAGAATTTCGTTCATTTGTTTTGACTTTGCATAAATTGTTTTTAGTCAGATGCTTTTTTCCCATTCTCTTTATGTTGCCTCTTTCACTTTCGTATATTGTGTTTGGCGCGTGGAGTACCTTAGTTTGCCACCTCATGCATGAATAAAGGTATTCATGTGATTCCTTGTTTTCACATACTTTTTTCTCGTTTTTACTTTGTTTTTTGTTTATTCCGTTTATTGAAAGTGTTTTGTACGTGTTTTTTGTTATGTTGTTGGTTGTTGTTCTTTTTTTAGTTGTTGTATTTCACCAGTGCGCATTTCATATTGCAAGTAAACATATTTCATTCGTAATGGAATTTTGTTTTTGTTGCACGACAGAGCATCGGAATAAAATACTTGGAATAGCCAGAGTGAGAAAAGTCGATGGAGAGAAAACAGGGACAATGGAAATGTTTGGCAGCAGGAATAACAACAACAAAAAAACTAAATTGCTCACACAAATGCTATGTGGTGCCGTATGTTGTGTTTGCACAATTTGCCATTTGCCATAATTAACTCTAGTCGCCCGTTTTTTCCCTTCGTCCTCATTTTTTCACCATTTTCCGTTGCTGCTTTTCATTGTTCTTGGGCGCGCTTGACTCATTCTTCATTCGGTCAATTGTTTCTTGTACTCTCTGGCGCTCATTTCATTTCATTTTCTGTACAGGAACCGAAGTTGTTCAGTGTTTTTTTCTTCACTCTCGTGAAACTCATCTTATTTGCCACAGTTTTTTCCTGTATAGCTTTGCTGCTTTAGGTGTTGTATATATTTCACATTCATTTTCTCTTGATGCGTCTTTTTTTCACCTGAAGTTCTTTATATTTAGTGGTGCAACAATTACCGTTTTCAATTCTTTACCGTGTGAGCATTTCTTGCTGTTAAAAAACATTCCCACAAAATCTATTCATTTAGTTTACCCACTCAGTGCTTTGGACGCTACTCTCTCTCTATTTTCTCAAAAAAGCTCTAATCTTTTTTCACGCTTACATTTTGAACAATATGTATAATATGCGACACAGAGCGAGAGAGAGAGAGAAATCGGCGAACCTAAAATGTTGTGCACGTTCCCACGTAATACGAATAACAGTTGGTTTTTGTCACGGAAATTATTATCCGCAGAAATATGAAAAATCTCACCTGTTCTATGCAAGCAGTCCTTATGGTATGTGCGCTTCATATGTTGGTTTGTTCCAATTTTGACACAGATTTGCATTTTGTATAATATTCGTACTGTATATGACCGTTTTTCAATTTTCCACACCATCTTCGTTGTCGTCATCGTGGTCGTGGTCGATGCTGCAACAAAATTCCATTTCGTTATGATTTGTTATTTCGCGGCGCAAATGTTTTCTCTTTCTCTCTTTCTCTTTGTCGCTCACTGTTTATGTTCATTGCATACGAGCGAAAGAGACCATAAAAAATGGCTAAAACTAAATTATCTCTCATATCTACCAAACCAAATACGCTTTTGAAATGAATTTCTCCAGCTTAACTGCTTTGGACGTTTAAAAGTGTTGCGATGCAAAGCGAGAAACCGACCAAGAGCCAACGCGAGGTAGAAGACAAGAGAGAAGAGTGGGAAACAAAAAAAATTAATATGAGGAATAGAGAGCGTGATGAGAGGGGAAAAAAGGCGCAAATGAACGGGCCCAAGCGAGTAAAAAAGAAGGAAAATATAAAAATGTTATGCTCATAAAACGGAAATAGCAATGATACACCTTTCGGTGGCCAAGCACTAAATCTTGGAGCGTACATAAAAAACCATTTCAAACATTTAGCCACCACTATGAGCCAGTAAATTGTTTCAATTGCTACAAATATTTTCGCATAAAATCTTTATTTACCAGCATTTTTTTTTTTGCCAACGGAACGAACAAACATAGACCGATTGTATGTGTGTACGTTCGTTCGCACGATGTTGATGATGATACAAACAACAAATATAAAACCTAAATTAAAATAGTTTAGTCGGTTTACAAAAAAAGAAGAATTGCACGTACGTATGCCTCGGCCTAAATAACACAATTTAGTTACAAGAGATATTGAAACCGTTTGGTTTCTGCGTTGCATACGCGTATTCTCAACAAAATGCCGAACGAAAAACTAACCATAAATTTAATTTTCCGTTATGGTTCGTGCTGTCACCTCTTGGTTGCTCATGAGCACACACTGCACACATACCAATCCTCTATTGAAAGCCATCGTTGTTCATTCACTTGGCAGCAAGAGAGAATTGCTCTTTATACACAATGTATTTTTTTTTCGCTTCAAAAAAAAGTTCATCGTTTTCCACTGCATTTACATTTTTGTTTCCACTTTTGCCATTCGAAATTCACATTTTTTATTATTGTTGTTGGCTACATTTTCAATATATACACTACACTCAATAGACAGAATGACTCTTTCTTTCGGTTGCATTGAAACGTGACGGTGAGCGTCATACCTTTTACGAACAACTTTATTTCCTAGCGCCGTTTCTCTATCCATTTCTCTCGCTCGCTATTCTCGGTCGGTGTGTGTGTGTGTTTCGTTGCAAAAATAAAGTAAACGAATAGTGATGCATTGTTTCATATTCAAATATAGACATTTATTTTGCTTTTCCACCTTTTTTATGTCAGCTTGACTGGCAAATATATATTGCCACCCCCCAAACACACACAAAACCCAAGCAAAATTGCGATTCCTTTTTTTGCCGCACATAAAAATAGAATGGATTAAAATCGCTAGAATTTTTCCTTTGTTCACACAAACGAAACAAAAAACAATTAAATTTTTCATCAAGAGATAACGGAAATTGGAATCCCGCATCAAATAAGGACTTATTTAACCGTTAATACCAGAATGCATATTTTTTAAATCACCATATGAATGAGTGTTCTGCCCTTGCGGCACATTTTTTGATTAATTTCATGCATTTTCAATCGTTTGTAGAGGAATTCTTTCCTTGACACGATTACGAAATACAATTTTGTCTCATTTATTTTTGATTGTTAATCAAAATGGCATTTTTAACCTGAAACTGCACTTAACGTTGAAGAACTATTCGGTTTCATTCACTCGATTTTTTTTCTCTTTTCACCATAATAAACTATGTGTCATCTATATTCAAATTTGACAGTTGATCTACTTATTCGAAAGGTTTCACTCTCTCCTGCTCTCACTCACTCCATGTATTGCTCTCGTTCACTCTCTTCAAATACATATATGCAAGAATTTAAATTGGCTCAAACCACCGCAATACAAACACGAAATTCAACAATCTGAATCTGCTTTGCACCGAGCAATAAGAGTAAAGATGGAGAAAAAACGAGTCAGCTTCAACGAAGTTCAGTTTGAGTGTTTGCATTTTGCTGAAAAATTGAAAAACTTTATTGAAAAATTTAAGAATGGAAAATTACGAAACATGTACACACGATTTTTCCTTCATGTTGATTTTAAAATTCCCATCACAAGTGCAAAAATGTTGATAAAAAAAAGAAACAGCAGCAGCATTTTCATTAAATTTAAAGCTCGAATGTTGGATATACACAAACACACATACGTCTACCATATGAACTTTTGAAGGTACTTGTCAGTTATCGTGATATGCACGAGCAAATAAATTTATGAATAATTAAGACTTTGTTCCAAAAATTCCGATGTGAAAAGCACGCGAGGACATAAGATGAGAGCCGATTTGGGAATTCGTCAAACGTTTCATATCCACGTGCTTTTTTCGCTGCCAAACATATATAGAACAACATTTTAATAAGATTAAGTAGTTTACCATAGTCAGCGACACAAATTCTCTGGAACAAAAGTGGAATTATTCAATATGGGTCGTTTGGACTTCAGTTTTATACATGAAACGAGACAATAAATGCATGCTTTATCCCTGTTTTCAATGGCTCAGAAAAACTTTTACTTTCGAAAAGTCATTTGAAAATATCAAGCTAGTAATCAAGCTAATTTGATTGTTACTTGATCAAAAATCCTTGATAAAATAGCATTTTACATGTGTTGTATGTTGATTGCTCTATTTGCAACTGTGTAATGCATTATTCTATGATGTTCGTGACGCCGCAAATAAATCTGGAAAACGAAAAATCGAAATGATTCAGAGAATGAGTTAAAAAAAAACCGATTACCATATATAACAATGAAAAATCATGTTTTTATATTACTTTGTTATTAAAAAAACATAGTTTATGGTATATATGATTTTATTTGCCCAGCCAATTATGTAGTACTTTTTTTTCATGTCACTTATGGAAATCATTTAATTCGATAAACAAATAAACAAATCACTAAATTGATTAATGAGTTCTTTTATTTTATTTTTCTTCATTTCGTTTTATGGTCTCATTTCAGTGAATCAACCCGTAACGTAGGACGTTGGTCATAATGATGTTGTACAGAAATTGGACTCGTGGCAAATGTGTGATTGTTGTACTTTTGATATGGTGTCGATTAATTGGTCAAAATATTATCGGTGTCAATTGTAATTTTAATCATTTTCATAATATTTTGATGCGAAACACATTTCCTTGTGCCATTAATTCGCTTTGCATGTGTACAAATGCCGGCAATGGAACGCACTCCTACCGAATAAGCTGCCATGATGTTTGGTTTTACAAATTTACCGGTAAGTTAATATCGAATCAATTCTTATTTAATAGTATTTTGTTAAATTTTCTAATGCCATTTTGATATTCGATTTTCGAATATAGCAACCACAATGTTAAAATGGTCGAAATTATTTTCGTAATAAAAACAAAATAAATGAATTTTTCACGCTGATTAAACGCATCACTATAAATACAAATTAAATTTCCGCAGTTATTTTCCCATAGAGAAATGTGGTTAAATTATTTTAACCAAAAATTTGAATTTTGTTTATTGAACGTTTGATTAATGCTCGGTGAACCGCAAACAGTTTTCGATGCCAGTAAAATTCCAACGCTCAAATCTCGTTCAGGTGTGAATTTTTGCGTTATTTAAGTTCAAAAATGATGTGTCTGTTGCCAGGAGCTGAAACATCATGTGTGTGTGTGTTGTATGTGCATGTGAACATTTTCCGACGATACACGCAATTATTTTTGGATCTCGTTAAACGCGTGTGTGCGTGCTCAGAGAAGAGTGTCACGGCGCGTTGCCATTAAGATCTTTTGGGAGCAAGCATGCATGTTATATTTACAACTGTAGCCAATGCCCTTAATTACTCTTTGCTTTCATAAATTCAGTCTTAATTTGTGAGCGTGTGTCTTTCCGTTGAATGTATAGATGTTTTCGTATCCACCGCATGAACTCATCTCATTCGCGAATTCATTTGCCGTTGTGACTTGAATGTTAGTTATGTTTCATAATTATAATTTAGTTACCTTATATATACTTGATGTGGTTGCAGCGATAGAAATAAGCATATATTCATATGAAGCGTCAAAAATATAATGGAACATTTCCGTTTTTTTCTTCGTCATCTTTATCGTTTATGTGCCGGATAACAAAACACAAAATACAACAAGAAAAGTTAGACATGAGTTGAAAGATACACAGCCACACCACATATACACACATATCTGATCGACACTTTCACATTCCCATTGGCACCAAATAAAATAGCAAAGAAACTCAAACAAAAAGCATTCATTAGCATATGGTATAGGTTGACGCTAATTAAGCCGCAATACAAAAAAGTTTTCGGTTTATTCACAAATAGACGTGCCTCAGTGAACAGACCAACTTTAAGATGCAAAGGAGACGACGACCAAAGATTGGTGAGAAAAATGCATGAAGAAAATGTGAGAAAGATCGTGAAAGTTTGCATCGTGTGTATACTTTCAAATAGCCGGAGTAAAATTTTGGCGAAAAGCACATTCGGGTTGCGTCAAGTGTGTGAGAGAGAAAGAGTGAGGAGAAGGAAGAAGATAACAGCTGAACAACCGATTTATGGAATTATGATGGGATTACAAGCAAGTACGCTAAAACAGATTTTTGGGATATTTCATTTTGAAAATTTTTAATGGCGCCACTTAAAGTATTCCCCAACATTTGTAATTTGCTGAAAGCGTAATTTCCTCGGTTTGTGCACACACCAGTAGACTCAAGCAATGGCTGATGATTCGTTCACGTTAAGTGAAATTTATCAACATGATGTTACATAAAAATGCAAGAAGTTGACAACTCATTTAATTTTATTTACGACCACAACCGAAAAGAGAGAACGTCAAAAAGACTGAGATAAATACCGCTTGGCCCATGCAATATGGTTTAGGCACCACAATTTGGATATATGCATATATGTTTGTGCGTGTCTGCGGTAACAAGTGGTTAACTTTAAATAATAATTCAAGAAACCGTTAAACGCTCATGTTTTCCTATTTCGTACCCAAAACACTTTTCATTTTGGTCATTCGGTGAAAAGGATTATTTTTTATCAGTTCAACGCACAAAGTTTTATCGTTGCATACGCAATTTGGATTTTAATTTATAGAATGTCTCGAACAACCTTTACATCGGTTAAACATATTTCATCTCTTCATTTCTCTACCTCGTTATGTTTTTTCATGGAAAATTACGATTTACAAAGGCGAATCCACTCTAATCGGTTAAACAGCGTATATCAGCTTAGAGTGCTTCGGATGTGATGAGCATCATAACTCTGGTGAGTTATAAGTGTCATTAAATCTATAAGAAATATGCAAATGAGGCAAACGGGTTGTTGCATCCAAATGCGAAACTATAACTTTTTGGTAGTATAAACATGCAATGTATGTGTACACATATGCGACTGATATGTGGTGCTTCATCGTTGTCTTCGTCTTCGACGTTGTCGTTCTCATGATTTCCTAAATAAAATATTCCATTGAATATCATAGCAAGCTATAATTATAAGTCAAAGTCATGTATTCTGGCAATAATAATAAGTAAAATGCAGCAGAAGCAGCAGCACTACCATCACAACCACCCGTACAACGTTTCGACGCACCAATACAAACACACAAACTGTGTTCCGGTGACGAGCGCAAAAAAGATTGTTTTTATCGTGCAATTTAATTTTATAACGATTTTAGCAACTGAAATGAATATTAATATGAGAACCAAAGTGGATGGTAACGTTGTTGATTCAGCCAAATGAACACTACTTGTGCATACACATCCACACACACACACACACCCACACCCAGTGGGGGTGGCAGGGAAGTAGGTGAATTACAAAAGCAATGCGAACGCCGTTTTCATTCCAAAATCATCGTTTATTTTCCATGCAAACCGAGTGGCATGGTGGTTGTTTTCACCATAAGAGAACAAAAGAAGTTTTGCGAACAAAGAATTTTATGTCGTCGTCAAGTTAAAGTTTATTTACTATTCGACGAGTGAAAAACGGCAAAATATGTTCTGCTCATTAAATGCGCTACGACATTTTCATATACCGTATAAGCGCATTACAATTAGTCAGGAGCTTCATGCTTCTCTGCCACTTGAATCAACGACTCGACTTTGTTGGTGATAGTGGATGAGTGTGTATCTGTACGAGAGAAAGAGACAGAAGTGCCTTGATAGACGAAGCGTTCAGTGTGCACCGAGTGGTGCTTCATTTTCATATATGACATGGTGGTAATGCATGGGCCAAATACGATCATTTCATTTTTTGTGTGTCTGTCTACCCCACCCCCCATTTCTATCTTCCTTTCTGTTCTCTTTCTGCATTCCGACAATTTCCTTTTGTCACAAACCAATTTTCAAGACGAAACCACTCAATTTTGATGTCTCAACTCTTTTCGTCGCTAGTTAACTATCACAATAATGTGTGATGCAGTGTTAAAAACCAGTCTATGAAACGAAATAAGAGAGAATGAAATTTGTATGTTTCACCGAATGCATTGCGAAATATACGATGTACGTTATAAATGTCGAAAAGGCAGTGTCGAATCAAATGTGATGGGTGATGGCAATTGAACTGAATATATACTGAATGATAAACCTATTGTGTGCTTATGTTCGTTTGCCGTTTCCTTTGGGATGCGAATTATATGTGTTATTTTTGGTGATAAAATTTCGGAAAATATTTTGCAAGGAAAATGAAAATGCGAACATTTTGTGGCATATGACTTGAATCGAAATCTATCGACAGAAAACACACACACATAAACACATTCATATTCGTTAAATAAAAATGATTTTCATGTTTATTCGAGAGAGCCGAATGCCATGATATTCCACATTTAATGGTGTTTATTTTATAGATATGATTGGGCTCTTTTATTTATGGCCGCTTTTTTTCTGCTACCCATTTGCAATTTTATTCGTATTCAATATAATATAGTGGAATATGATTGAACGGCAATGTGCAATGCAAGGCAGTGGAATCGAAATCTATCAACAACGACTAATACGTTGTTTATGATGCGTGTGCGTGTGAACAAATGATTTGTATTTCCAATGGCATAAAATAAACGAATGATGAAGGAAAAAAAATCATTAAATCGTAAAGTTGTGCATGGTATCGGGGTCTACCGTATTTTCTTCCTTTTTTTGTTCTCTTCAACACTCGACCATCAAATATCAAGAATGAAAAGCGTGTAACGGTCTCGGCAGCTTTTAAAAGAAATGTCGAAAATAACACGGTAAAATTGTTATGCTTCCGGTGAATAAAAAGCGACATTGAAAGTGTTCGGTGCGTCTTGAGGTAGGCTTAAAAAATGGTAGGCTGGTGGTTCTTGTTGGCCGGATGTACAGAGTTAACATATGACTTTATGATTCGGTATACGTATATAAGAGTTTTAAATGATTTTGCAAAGGGACAGACATGAATCATATTTCCTTACGCTCTCCCCATCCGCCAAACATCCATTAACTTATAGAGACAGAATGTTTAACGGTGCGGTCCGAACGACAAAATCAAAAGTCCATATTATAAATGTAAATAAAAAACCGAATAGCACAAATAACCATAAAATGGGTAATAATTACAACCAAGATTATACTTTCACCAGGCCATATCAAATAGAAGGTAAAAAGAGACCGGATTCGATGAACTTAAGTAAAATATTTATGGGCTTTTCCAGTGACGCACATTTTTCATTCTGGCCACCCTTCCGTATACTATCTTAAAGTTGAGACATAAATCTCGGCTCATATTTTTGTATGTGTGTATGGGTGGTGTGTGTAAACCATAAATTTTTTTAAAGAATCAAGTTTAGCGAATTAAATCGGATTCGTCGCAGCAAAAATTCAATTTGGTTGCATTTTAATACGCTCATTAAAACCTATATTTAATACAATGAGGTTTGCATTGAATTCGGCTGTTGGGCTGAATTGTTATTCATGTGCAAATGTAATTTGCGGCATTGGCACGACGCAAGGTTAAATTAACCAACAACAAGAACCGTTCAACTTCTATTGGGGCGCTTGTTTGTCCGGCATCGTAAATATTTTCCTCTCCTCCCTTCCTGTGCTAAGTACGTGACGTATGGGTACCAAAGCAAGTTCACATTTTACCATTTATCGAAAACATGGCCATTTTTCACATCAAATTTATATTAATTTTCGATCCAATGGACGCACATGGAAACCGAGCGCACATTTCTCACAGCAAAATAATTAAAATTAAACCAATTTTAGTTATAGTTTGGTCGAAAGCAATGTATAGTATATTTATTATTATTTTAAAATTAGGTTATGTCATAAACATAATTCGCATACGGAGGACGCTGCAATGTCGATAAGCGTCTCATTATTTTTAGAGGCGACTCGCCTTTTTTCTCACTGCAGGCTTTCAATTTTGTTCTATTATAAAAGCTATGCAATTATCTATATGAATAAATGAAAATGATGGTTTCGCTTGAATTTCAAACTGATTTACATGAGCACGTAGCAAACGAAAAAAAAATGAAAACTGAAAAAAAAACGTCTGGCATTCTATTTGTTACAAACTTACATTTTACAAAACCATATATCTCTCCGATCGATGTGGGTTGTGTGAGCGAGAGAGTTTGCATATTGAAAATCGTTAGCTGAATTATGGCAGAATATACACGCACACACTTATACGCGCGTGCATCGTTTCAATATGTTCGATTCTGTATCTATTAAATTCGCATTGAGATTAACGATGGCGCGCACTGCCAACAGCATCCCGATGTTATAATTTTCAAATGAACATGTTCGTTCTTGCATGCTTTTCCCACAAATCTATGTTTCCGGTGATATGTTTGTGGCGCGCATCGCATAGATTCTCTCATTGAACACGTTGATTTATTGATTTCGGTGCGAAAGACACTGGCATTGGCTAAATGGTCAACGAATATTTGAATTTCAAAATGCCACACACACACCAAGTTTCATATTTTTTTCTCCCATTCCCTCACGCTTCAAATGACATAAGCCTGAATGAGCCCAAACTAGAGGCAAAAAAGATTGTCCAATGCAAAACTTTTTTATCATTGGAAATGCATGCACATCGTCAAAAAAAAAATGTATTTTACTAATCTCGTTTCTAACTTTTTCGTTTTATTTTGGTCGTTCGTTCGCTGTTTTTTAGTTCACTCTCTCTCTCTCTCGCCACAAACTTAATGCAGAAGCGGTAAATTTGGCAAACTTTACAACCGCTCGCACGCCGAATGAATTTCGTTTTATATTCCGTGCGTATTTGGTGAACTCAAAAAACTTTGCAATGGGTATTAATTCGCAATTTTCAAGCGGCTGCTGCATACACGACAAACGAAATTCCAAAAACGTTTGTCGCCAACTAACGACAATACAATGAACCTGTTAACCTGCATTGGGCCGCGAACGACAAATTCATGTGACGTTAAAATTGTTGGAAATTGGAATGAAACAAATTGTATATTCCGGCATACAAGCAATAAAAACACAAATACAATGACGAAACGGAAAAAAACAGTCGGATGGCACATTTATTACAGACAGCCTGTCATAGATTCGATTCGCTTTTATACAGTTCCCATATGCACAGACATTTGATGTATAGAAAAAAAGCACACATGGCATTCAATTTCAATTGAACTGAATTCAAGGAAAATGCACAGATAATGAATGTAGGGAGGGAGCTGTGAGGACGGAAAAAGGAGGAAATTGAATAAAAAAGAGTAAATTCACGCGCGCATTCATACACACAAAGCACATTCACAAAATTTGGTTATTATTTATTGCCACGCCAATGCCATTTCACATTAAAACTAATATTTCTCTTGACTAATTTCTACCGTTGAATATTAATAGCATTCAAAAATCGTAATTTATATCATACAACGAAATACAATGCAAAACATGATATAGCTTTTTCGACATCATTGTGTGTCGAAATCGAATTGGCTGATATGCTGTGTGCGCGCTGCGCTACGTGCTCGCATTTTACGCAAACTGTTTCTCCATTCACTTTATTTCTATTCACTAAAATAGTATTTACGTGAGTCAAAGTAATAATATAGAAAATTGAAAATTCGCCTTTCAAAAACAATTTTCGGTTGGAATTTTATACATGGCTTCGGTTTTACATGAATTTTATTATTTTGGATATTGCTGGTAGCGATAGGCAACTTTTTTTTTGCTCAGTTTGAACTCCTGTGACGCAATTTCCACAAAATATTAAATTATAATTTGTCTGCTCCCGTTTAAACCATTTATGTTTACCCTTAACTTTTTTCCCCTTCGAGCACAGATGACAACGCCGGTTTTATTAAACACCAAATAGTTGTTCATAATTTGTAAATATAAAATATATAATTACAACATTTTTTGTTGCACATGCCATTTTCATTCTTGTTTGAAATGCTTTGTGATTTTTCACGATGCCATCGGGCAAAAACCGAATCAATAAAAAATGGTTTAATTATTGTGTTGGCATTAACAGTGATTAACTTCGTTCACATTTTCAGTTCCATCAGCTTTGGCGTATCATTCTTGTTTTTTTAAAGCAAAAGTAATGATCAACTTAATCACGTAATAATGAGCTTTATTTAATTTGTTAAACTTTGCGAGTGTATGAACCAATCAGAAAATATATTGATAATTTCCAACGGCTTTTTTTCATTTAATGTTTCATGTAAATTTACCTATAAATAGATTGGGCCAAATCAAATACATAGATGACCAATGGCATTATATAAAATTAAAATACCTGAAATGATACCAACTTAACCATATTAAATCGTTAAATTGTTTTTGTTTTCGAACATATATCCATAACGATATGGAGTATGTTTGGAATGTTCTATTTTTCCGTAGAAAAAAGTTTGATTTTGAAGCAATTATTTTGAATTTGGCCAGCACATATGAAAAATGGCCGGAAATGTCATTCATTGGAAAATTTGTGTACATTTTGCAAATTATTAGCGTAGTCGATGTGGAATGCATTGTAAACATTGAAACTTATAACAGCCAACAAATTCAATTTCAATTTAAATTTTAGCGGTTATTTTCGTAAGCTCTGACATTCCAAAACGAAATTTCGTTAATAATCTATCAATCAAATTGTGACACATTTTATGGGTATGAATTTCAAATCTTCATTAATATTGAACGATATAAATTCTGAAAATTATTATTTGCTGTCTGCCATCATCATATTTTATCTTCGTTTTACTATGGCACACACTTTTAGACTCCGTAATCAAATAAATATATACCTTTCATAATATGAAATTCATATTTACTTGAAAATTGACGAGAAAATCAACTTTCAATCATAATTATTTGATGTACCAAATGGATACAAGTATCATTCTTTTATGCCATTGAACCATAAAGGGGGATGTGAGCCAGGATAGTCCCCGCTTAAATCGTCCGAGCTATCCCCTGGCGGCAGTTGAGTATTTCTTTCGATAATTTTCTCAGATATGTAAGGAGGAGTGCTCTGAGGAATCGAATGAGCACTGAAAAGCAAAATATCAAGAGATAAAAAATAATTGAAAAATGATCTAAACTCAAAGTATTATTAACTTTAATTATTTTTAACTTTTAATATTTTGCTCCTCACTTTGGAGGTGCTCTGTTTCTCAGTTATTCTCAACCTCCTTCTTCTCACATATATTGCTCTAAGAAACAGTGATTTGCTAGCCGCAAGAAAGCTCTCTTCAATTTTCTGTAAGAAATTTATTGTAAAATGATTATTCTAATTGTCATGTAATTTCAATTGCTATTGATCTTTATTTTAAAAAACGTAATTTCAATGATATGTAATTATTATAATAATTATTATTGACTTAATTTTTTTATTATTTGAATTTTTCATTTTTCTATTTTCAGAAATACTTCAAAATTCCATAAAATATGTAGAAATGTCACGAAATAATTTGCAATGTATCGATGACGAGACATTCCAAGGGCTTCATTTGGATTCGTTGAAGCTAATCGATAACAATATACAGTATTTCACGGATAAATGTTTCAAGTAAGTATGCTTTTTTGATATTTTCCCCATTTTATTTGAAAAATTTCAAACCGTCAAATTGAAAATCATTTGAATAATTTATTGTCTGAAATTGATTGAAAATTTTTCTAATATGAATCTCTGAATCGATCTCGTTTTATAACTTCGCTGGACACAATAAGTCGTTGAATACATATGGCGTTGTGCTCTCATAAAAACTTCGGTCTTCATCAATTTCCATAAAAAGCGTTAAACATACTAATAAATTATTTCGATTGAAAGTTCGTTTTGTTGTTTATCTTTTGGTTTGAGTCAAGCGGAAGAAAAAGAAGCGACATAAGCACGCACGAAAAAGTTCTTTTTGTTTCTGTTTATTCAATTTGATTGAATGACGAAAGAGAGGAAGGGCAACAGTTGTGCAGGAGTGAGAAAAAGTGAATAAAAGGCATCGATTCGAATGCTTCACATCACACCGGTTGGACGGCGAAATCGTTAGCTAGTGTTATCGTTTTATGTTATTAATTGTGTTTTTACCATAAATAACGTTTCCGATTTACCGATGAAAGGCACACAACGAGCACACGATTCGAAATCGAGTTTATTTGGACAGGCGTCGGGGCATACTTTGCTAAATAACTAAACAATACAAATAACACCCGAAGTAAAAATAAAAACCATTTGGCCATTGGAGTTTTTGTGCGTGTATTTTGCAACATTTTGTTGAGTAAACAATCACACACATTACAAAATGTGTGCACCCTCCGGAAAATTGTTCATCTTTAAGCTCCGAAGACAGAAACAGAGATAGAATGAAATGAACTTTCTTGTTACTTGTTCGTTCATTTTTATTGTGTCATTATGGTTGGTGCGGTTGGTACTGGTTTTTTTCTGTCGATTATCACAGTCAACATCAATGTATTATTTATTTAATTTTCACTTGGATGTTGATTTAACCTTGCAATCGTGTTTGCCATTGTTTTTGTGCGCTGAACGACGTTCATTTTAATGCTGTTAGCATTTGTTGTTGTTAAACATAAAACAGAATATCTATACATAATGTTGCCGTTATTTTTTACTCATTATTTCCACCGTTTGTTTATGGTGATGAAATGTTCTCGGTACTGTTCACCAGCTCTTCATTCAATTTTCAATTGAAGTTACACTTGATTCATTTTGCTGATGGGTTGATTTTGTTTAACATTTTTTTTGTTCCCTTTTGCTCTGATCATACTTTCATGCCATCGAACTGCTCATATCGATTGGAATGTGGTGCAAAAAATATGATAAAATAAAAAAAAACATTACGGAAAAAATATCCTTGTCATTCTTCCTTTGTTTCGAGTAATTTTGTTTTTTATTCATTTGCAAATATTGCGTATCGTGTTTCCTGCGCTACTCTCTTTCCCTCTGCGCTCGTTTTGCCTATGACGGAAGTACAAGTAATAGACACAAAAAATGCGAAAAAATTATGTTCACTCAGAATTCTATTGATTTTGTGTCATGAATACAAATATGTACATTAAATAAACTTGTTGTTAACGTCAACATTGACAATAAATGATTAAAATGCCTATGAAATTCTGATAAAAATAGAAACAAATACGTCAAAATTGACAACGGAAGAGAGTAAGAGATGGTAAAAAAATCATAGAAATTGAAATAAAAAACAGCTCGGTGACGAAACATGTTTTTTCGGTCATGGGTTGCTGATGTGAATATTGGGGTTCTTTCGGGAAGGAAAAAATTTTCGAACCAAATGAATTGAAAACCAAAATACCATTTCGACCGAATAATGTCATATTCTCTTTGAACCCCCAGGTCTTTTAATACCCACTGCATTTGAACAAGTACTTTGCTAATTGCCGAGATTATTTCATTGTTGTACGCAGAAAAGCAAACATTTTTAATATATTTTTTTTTTTTGCATAGAAGAGTGCACTGATGGGTTATATTTTATTTATTGAATAATTTTTTTCAAATTATATTCTCTTCGTCATTCTGGTTTTGTGTGTCAGTCGAGTGATTTTCACTTGATTTATAATCGGTGTCGATCATCGACATATACGCATCACATTTTTTTTCATCTTCTCTGCTTTTCGAGTATTATTATTTTTTCTGCTGTTCGTTGCGTATTTTGTTTGACATGGCAAGTCAATGAGACGAAATCAAACAATAAATTGATTGAAACAATTTTTTTTTTCGGGCGAACAAACATCGAACGACAAAAAAAACAGACCGGATTTACCCGGGAATTTTCATATTTGTTGAAGAGTCGAGCCGTCGTCTATTTTACCATAAATTATAAATTGGATCGCGTACGAATTTTCAGTTTGAAAATAAATGAAGCAGAATAATTCTAGGTGATTTCAATATTTGACGTACCCGCATTTTAACAGTAAATATTCGTATTCTTTTTGCACTCGTGCAAACGACAAATTTTTTTTCCCGTTCGTTTCTTTTCCATTCAATTAATACCAATTTATATGTTAAGGCTTTGTTGTAATAATTCCGCTGTTCATAATCAATCAATTCAGGCAGAGACGCAAATGTCAGTCAGCACCAAGAGATACTCCAACACAGTTATTTATTGAATTGTATTGAAATATTGAACAGTAAGCTAACTCTCACACCCATCGTTCAGCTTAAATGAAAGAGAAAAAGAAATAAATTTTCCTCGTGAATACGTTTTCATTTATGATTGGAATGGTATGTCGCATAAATTCAATTTATTGGTATATAGGCGATTCGAAGACATAGCTATGTCCAATCTAGATTACCCTAGTTCTAATAAACAAATCACTAAGTAATTATAACCATTTCTATACACACAATTATTGAACGAGTATGATTTTGCTTTGTTTGCTTGTCAAATCAATATAATCATAATTGCATATGTCGTTGCGTAGAGATGAGTTATCTTTCACACATGCCATTTGTCTGCAGGCAGCTTTTGCTGCTATTAACATTTGGTGACTGTCAAAGAAAATAACGGAGATCGAAAGCGAAACCGAAAAGATAGAGAATGTGAAGAAAAATATATTTTTATATAAATCATCATCGAAAATTGCTTTGGATTTTTGACGCATGTGCTTGATTTCGTTTCAAGATGTTAAAATATTTGATATTTTCATTCGAGTAAACGTTATAAATCATCTTACGTTTGGGTCTTATCAACGTTAATTTTCACCATTTCTTCACCGTTTGCGAACGAGATCGAGAGAATGCAGCTTGCGATATGTCGCACAACAACAAAAAAAATATGTAGCGAGAAAATGAGAAATATGAAGAAATTGTTAATATTTTACGCATTCAATCCGTCATTGGGATAGAGAATCGATATGAAAGCTTCGAATCCATAACACATGTCTATGTATTTTACGTTTCTCGATTGTTTTGCTTGAAGGAAATATGGAAATTCCATAATTTTATTGAATTTTCAATATTAAATTCCATTCATCGGTGTACACGTCTCATATACACGCCCATGGGCGAAATGCTATCGATCGCACCAGCTTATGCACGGCATGTCATCAATTCACTTAACAGTTATGGACCTGTCTCTCGAAGTTTCCCACAAAAAAATCTAATACCATACTTTCATCACGATATGGAGCGAACACAGAAAATATAAACGATGATGACAACGAGAAAAAGCAAAACAAATATCAATATTAATCCCGTCAAGTAAGAGCACCAAATGACCGGTTAATTCCTAGATTTGACATAAAGTACGTACAAAAGGTCAAAATGGTTTTAATGCTACTCTTTTCGGTTCATTCAGTTGATTTTCTTTGCTCTTCACCAAAAATCTTAATCAACTTTCAAGCTTTCCGTCAAACATTGTCCATTCAGAACAAGTGCTATACGATGGTCTCGTAGTGATTTCGTATTTATGCGGTTGCAGTTGAACTTTCTATATACGCATTTCCCAGTTTAGGCATATCAACACTTGACTAAGCATAAGAATCAAAAAGTATCGACTAGAAAAAAAACCCTTCGAACAGACCAACAACACACATTCGGTTAAGGGGCCAATCAAAATAAAAACGAATGAAACGCAAATAAAATAAAGAAAATACGATGTAATCAAACTGCCGAAAAAAGGTCAAATTATTATGTGAAAATGTTCATCGAACGATGTACACAAGAAAAAAGAAGAAGAAGATAGAGTGAAAACATTCGCATTGCTACATAAAAACCCTCTTTCCCGCTTCCATTTCGTATGCTAACTTAATTTCAATGTTAACAAAATGTTGATGAAGATGAGTCGCAATATAGTCGAACGCACCATTTCATTGCGTACTTGCAAATTGAATGGAAAAAAAGAGAATGTGAGAGATAGAGAATCTGAAAAGAAAACAACAACAAAAACAACTGAACATGAAATAGAAAAGGCTAAACCAATCTGATTAAATGAAAATTGAATCAGCATAATACCCAGCAGTTGGTTGATGGTTGCGTTGGTTCCGAGGCAAAAGCACAAAGTTGTTGAAAATCAATAAAAACTTCTATTTAAAGCAACATTTCAATGGATAACAATTCAAACTATTACTTTGCCGTTTATCGTACGGACAACGACATCGAAAAGCCTCGATGATCGAATCACAATGAATGCGTGGTTTGGAAAATGTTGTTTTCGTAAATACATAATTAAACGGATTGACAACAATTACGCTGAATCATTATTCAAGTGAAATATATTATTATTTTTTCCTTAACTTTTTCAATCTTTTAATCTTAGGTATCGGCGGTTAGTTGATGATTTTTTTAAACGTTTTACTATATTTTCATTTTCTTTAGCCTGATTAATATGCGAACACATATTCGAAACGCAATGACTGTGTAATTCATTTCAAAATGAAAATACCAACGGAAATTGTTTCTCTCTGTTGTCGATTAATGGGATTTATTTTGTGATTCAACATGCATATAAATATACCTTAATTAGCTTGCTTCCTTCTCTCTCTCTCTCTCCATCTTCAGTTTGAATTCACGTGGGTGTATGTTGTGTTTTTTTCCATCACTTTCGGTTAGCCTTCATTGAGCCCACGAAATAAATAGAATACGAAGCATTCGCCTTGAATTTGAAATGATTAATTTAGTAACATCATGTGTGTGTGTGTGTGATGTGCGTAGAGAGTGTCATCCCCATACAGATTGTTATGCTTCACTGCCGCCATACCACGAAGGTATCTAAAGCGTTTTGTATTTGTGAAAACACCGAATTATGTGATACATTGAGGGGGCTCGCCAAGACGCTCGGCAGGTAAACGTGACAAATCGAATGGAATATTCAAATGTTTTCGAATCTACTGGGGCCAACAGACTTAATTGGGTTTATTTTTCGTTTATTTTTTCGAATACCTTCTCTGCATTCTGATATACGCGGATAAAGAGACAACGATTTGTACAGGGTGTGTAATGAATCGATGTAGCGTAAGAAGAGCAAAAGACATTTCACAAGCAAAAACTATGACTTTTATTCAAGCGCATTTAACATGTTCGCTTAATGAGTTTTCATTTTGCCCTTTCGTTAAAATATATTACCGAGAAAGATGTTTAATCTTATTTGAATGTATGTGTAAAACGCGCTGGATCATCTTAACATCGTTCGTCCACTATTTCACATCATCCCATTAACCTTTGATACAACACATAGTGTTCTTCTCTTCCATTCTGACGCGCTCTTCCTCTTCCTCTCTCTCTCTCTCCCTCTCTCCACCACTATCTATCTGTCAGTCTGTTAATTTTATCCAAACACAGATAAAAATATTCTACATAACAATGACATTATTGTTTTTAACATTGAATCGGGATATGATGTTCATATACGAGCTTTTGAAATCCCATTAACCTTATGCCATGTTCATGTGACGCCTTTATGGATGCCATGAATTTCGATCCGGCAAGATGTTTTCGAATTGACGATGTCCGCTTCCGACAAAATTCGTTGTCGTTTTCATGCAGACTTTTCGTCATTCGATGTATACCGAGCGGCGATATGCTCAGGCATCAAAACAAAATGTCGCTTTAAATGTCAGCATTCGTTTGCTTATCCAATTAGAAAAGATTTCTTTTTCACTTTTGGTCCCTATGCCAAAGCCGCTTCTCACTTTCACTGTGTATCATGCAGCGTTAAAAGCAAATGATATCAAGTCGTTTCGTTGACATTTTATTTAAAATATCTACCAAAAATATCGGCCATTTTACACACAATTTACTCGTAATAAACAAACTTGCTGATAAAATCATTTTTGGATTTTGTTGTCAATCTGTATTTCTCAACAAACTGTGAAAGTTAAATTGAATGGAATTCTTAATCCTCTTAAGAGACCGAATTATATATTAAGAGAAAGAAAAAAGTTTCTATTGAACTTTGTTTATCGATTTTCTATTTTCGATGTTAGTAATAATCTTTATTTTTTTCATTTTACTTTCAGTTCGATGACATATTCGTTACGTTTACTGGATATATCGGGAAATCAGTTCGGAGAATTGCCATTAGAATCAATTAGAAATATTCATACACTTAGCCGATTAGAAGCACACAGGTAACATTGTTAAAACTAAAGCATGTGATTATTATTTCAAAGAAAGCGAATTGTAACAAAATGGAAACATGTCCATTCAGTTAAATGGTGTGTGGGTCATGGATGTGACTCTTGATTAAAAGAGACGCCTTTATTGTTAATGATTTTGGCAAAGATAACACAGATAGATACAATTGAATGTAATTGGTTCGAAGATATAAGTGAATTGAAGCTTGAATAAATGACAGGTGTTACATTGAAATAATATACTTGACCCGTTCAAATCCCATGAAATAAATTCGATACACGTGAATAAGTTGAACTAAATAATGGGCAAAATCAATTCAATCGAAATGGATAATCATAGTCAAACAATGGTAAGCCGGTTGAAATAATTGTATTGATAGCGTTGTTTCCCACACAATGTCTATTCGGTTCATTACCGCAAAAGGAAAATGTGAAAAATAATTACTTATTATCAATCACGTGAATCCATCAAAGTAATTTAACAAGTACAGGGTGTATTATGAAAACTTTTATCCCAATGGTGATTACGAAATGTTCGAGCGCTGAATGGATGATTGATAGAAATAATTTCATGTGTCACCAAAAAAATGTGCCAAAAATGACAAAAAGTTCTGCGAGCAAATTCATTTGGGAAATAAAAACTTGGTTCATGTTTACACCTTATATGATTGATTATGCGTCGTAAATATACATCGTAATAGAATGTTTCCACATGAGACGCGCGTCGCGGTTGAATACATTAATTTGATAATTCAAATGATGTGACACAAACACATTCACATATATCATTTGAACGAATAAAATCATCATTTGAATCGATTCGTATATACGAATAGAACAGATATTACACATACATAATAGCATTAATCAATAAATAATCAAAGAGAACTCATGCCTAACCACAACATTCTTTATTTCTTGTTTTTTTTCGCTTTTTATTTTCTTTTCTATGGCTGTCTATTCCGGTTATGGCCGCACATGAATTATAGGAACAACATACAGAGTTTAGATGGTGATTGGGGCTATTTGGTTGACTCATTACGTTCGCTACATGTGTCAGGAAATTCAATAACGGAAATGAATTTCGCTGATGATGAAGACGATTATATGGACGAAGACCTACTGCCGCGCATTTCACAACAGCAACAGCAGCAGCAACAGCAACAACATCAACGTTACCATCATAAACCGACGTACAATGGTTACAATTCGATTAGTAGCAGCAGCTATCGTAGTGCGTTTTCAAAACTTCGTAAACTGACGTGGTTGGATGTGAGCGACAATCGCATATCACACATTGCTCCAAACTATTTACCTCGAATCATAATCACATTAAATTTAAGCGATAATTTATTCACTGAAGTACCTGTAAATATGCTCCAGCATTTACATCAATTACGATCGCTTTTTATGCGAAACAATTTGCTCAAAACGTTATCCAGTTTAGAAGACTATGGCACGCCGATGCTGTTGGAACGCATCGATTTTAGCTACAATGCGATCGAAGAGTTTACGCATTTGTTCAATGTTAATTCAACCATTAAAATCATTATACTCGAAAAAAATTGGATACGCCGTTTGCAACCGAATGCATTTCGAAATTTATCAACGAGCCGATTAGCATTGGCTTACAATCGCATCCATCACATTCACAGCGATGCATTTAATGGACTCGAAGAATCGTTGGAACACCTTGATTTGGAGCATAACTTATTAACGATTTTTCCAAAAGCCATAATGTCATTGAAACAATTAAATTATTTATACTTGCCATCAAATGGTATCAGCACATTGAATGCATTACCCAGCACCGTACGGGCATTATCATTAGCAGCGAATAATTTTACCACAATGCCATTGCATGCATTGAAAATGTGCACCGATCTAATGTACTTGAACATGGGATATAATAAAATCGTTGAAATATCCGAAAATATGTTCATGGATTGGGGTAACAAATTGGAAACATTGTTTTTGCGCAACAATAAAATCACGAGCTTAAATTATGGTTCATTTAACGGCTTAGATGCCATTAAAGAAATGAGCCTCAGCTTCAACGACATTCATTATCTGCATCCATTAGTATTTGAAAATATATCGAAAACGCTTACCATATTTGAGCTATCGTTTGGTTTATATCGTGACGATTTTCCAACCGAACAATTTAAATTTCTAACCGAATTGATGTGGCTGTCGTTGGATAATAATAATTTGAAAAAAATTTCCGACGAATCGTTGATTACGCTAACGGAATTGGTGCACATTAATCTATCGTTTAATCGGATCGCCATGTTTCCGCCGACCATTTTCATTGCGGAAATACACAAGAAACTCAAAGAAGTCGATTTATCATACAATTCATTGACCAAAATCTATACAAATACATTTGACAGTCTCGTTAATTTACACACGGTACGGCTCGCTTCCAACCGGATACAATCGCTAGATATGCACAGTTTTCACAATCTACCGGCATTGACCTATGTGGATCTAACACATAATTTATTACGTAACATTAGCGAAAATGTGTTCACATTTTTACCAAGATTACTGCAACTGGATTTGATGTACAATCATTTGGAGCAGTTAACATTTAAAATATTTAAGCATGCATCGAATGAAACAATGCCCTTGCGTTTGAACATCAGCCATAATCGTTTAACGATTCTTGACGGCGAAATCAATTCATTTTTGTACATTTATTCAATTGATGCCACATCCAATTATCTTAACGATTCGCAGAGTTTTCGATATTTGGGTTATAGCTTGAAGGAGCTCATATTGCGACGGAATAGTTTCAACATTTTAAATAATCATGCATTCAATGAATTGTATAATCTTGACTGGTTGGATTTATCGTATAATAATTTAACGGTGTTACGAAGGAGATGCTTTCAGGGATTGACCAGTTTGCAAAAGCTTGAACTTAACAACAATCACATAAATCAACTTCAATCCGATCAATTTGCCGATTTGCGAAATTTAAGAATTTTAAATTTGGCACACAATCGTTTGCGTTCATTGCCACGTGAAATTTTTGTGCACACACGCATCGAATATTTGGATCTATCGAACAATCAACTGACACTGTGGCCCGCCAATTCATTGTCCGACATTGGATTCACGTTACGCAATGTGCACATGGCATTCAATGAAATCGAATATTTGGAACCAAATATGTTCATCAACACACAGTACGTGTATACGTTAGATTTATCAAGGAATAAACTGGTCGTGATTCCGGACAACACTTTTAGCTATCTTAGCAATTTAACGAATTTAGATTTGAGCAATAATCCATTAGTTACCGCCAATTTGGAGCAGATCTTCCATCACACACCAATGTTACGTGTGCTTAATTTACGGTCGATGGGCTTGTATCACATGCCATCGATGACCACAACACATCATTTAACGGAGCTAGACGTAAGCATGAATAATTTGCAGGAAACTAGCCCTTTGAATCGATTAAAGCATTTACGTGTGCTGAAAATAGCCCAGAATAAAGTGTCAAATATCAGTGCGTTTGCCGAACGAATGCCGTCGTCGATACGTGTGCTCGATTTATCACGGAATCCAATCAAACGGATTTCATTGCTAGATTTCACGCGAATACGTCGTCTTGAAGAATTGTATATGAAAGGTTGTACGATACGAAATCCAATGCCATTTGGACAATTCACAAATCTCAAAGTGTTTCATTTCGATGCTCAGCCATCATTTGGCGATATTGTTTCAAATATGCGCGGTTTGCATGAGCTACGCATCGAAGTGAATGGTGAACTGTTGGACGGTACGATTTTATCGAAGCTTGTGAATCATACGAAAATTAATTCGGTCGAAATTACGGGAAAACGTCTAATGCAAATATCACCGAATGCTTTTACCGGACTTGCGCACACTTATAATTTGAAATTGAAAATACATAATACACAAATCAACGATTTTCCACCGACAATTTTCTATGCATTGCGTTCGATTCCACATTTGTCGATCGATCTGTCAAATAACAATGTGGCCAATTTGGCACCGGACAGTTTCTATCCGAATGCAAGCAGTTGGGACGCAGTCGGAACAAGAAGCATCATTGGAGGTCTAGATATTTATGGTAATCCATTACAATGTGATTGCGGCCTAGTTTGGCTGGGACATTGGCTACGACGGTGGCTTCGTGAAGTATCACACATTCACAATCTCAACGATGACGAATACAAAGAAATGGTCGAGGTAAGCACTATGAATAACTTTAATAGTAGCCATATATATACATAATATCATTTATAACATTTCGGAAATTAGGCTGTCAGTTCATAATGTCCGGATAGAATGCCATAATAAATCATTATTTATTTGATTTCCGTATGTCTTTTTTCCCGTCTTATTGTAGCGAGCGCGACGAAACACATGCATCGACCCACAAACCGGAAAAGTGGTCCCATTTTTGGAAGTATTTCCCGAGGATCTTTTATGCCATGCAAGTGCGCTCAGCAGTTCTGCCGTCAATAAATGTATCCTCATGCCAACATTTGTGAGAATTTTTATATTTTTATCGATAATTTTGACATTTAATTATTCCATGTTCATCTGAATTTGCCATTTGAGTGCATCAAATAATTTAGACAGATTCAAATGTTTAGTTTCCATACATATAGTTTAATCTATAAACTATATATATATATACGTATATGTAATGACAGAGAAAAAAGAGCCAATTCCATCAATATCGAATAAATATATTTATCTGAATATGATCAATGTCGGCATAAGTAGGAAGATTCTAATTTTGTTATGAAATTGAAGTATTTATATTTAATAAATTTAATGAAAGGGAACGAATTAATTGTAAATTGACGGAATAATGATAAATGTACTTGTAACTTAATCACATACACACGCACGCCATTTTCCATTGTTATAAAATTGAATTAAATTTAAATTAAAATCAGATACTGTTTCTCAAAGTAATATATGTGTGCGGAGCAAAATTTGAATCGTTTCCTCTGTTAAAAATGGTCAGATGTATAGCGATTAATGATTAAATGAAACTAGCTGGTTATTTATGTGGCACAGAATTTGTGTAAATGTGTATGACAATGTATTGTATATAAAATAGTGCAATTTTCCATTTAGATACATCTATTTAATGTGACCATATCAAGATATTGAAATTTACTTTGGTTACGAAGAAAGGAGACCGAGATTGTTATTAAATTTTATTGATTTTACCTGTTCGTTCAACTGACAAATTATTCGGCGTCGTCTTGGAAGCCATCCGTTCCATCAAGTTACAATAAGGTTGTGTAGAGTTCAATTCTGAGTGAATGTTATTGGCACACATTTCACTTGTGTATGTGACGGTTTTCAATCTCATGAGACCATTGAGTGTATACACTTGGTTGCCGAGCTTTGCTTGCTCGAAATGATAATATTCAGAAGCCGTGCAAGAGATTCCTCTTTCTCTATTAAGTGTTAGTTCAGCTCGTGTAATTGCATTTTCGATGCATGCATTGAAAATTTTCAATAGTGTTCGACACCACAATACACAGTCATGTTCTCGTAAGGATTCACTTGGAATTTTCATTCATTTCCATCGCCATACATAATATACTCCATATCTAATTCACTTTTATTATACGAGGGTTGCTCCATAATTTTTTTTAAAAACATATATAACACAGTTGTTTTTTGTCGAAAATGGTTTTATTGTTTTTCAAAATATTCCCCGAGATGATCGATACACTTTTGCATTCGATGAAACCATTTGTCATAGCATTCGTGCCACTCCGAAACTGATATCTCCAAAACGTGTGTTTTGAACGCTTCAACTGCTTCTTCTGGTGTCGAAAATCGTTGACCACGTAGTTTTTTCTTCACGCTTGGGAACAAAAAAAAGTCATTGGGTGCCAGGTCAGGACTGTACGGTGGATGACCCATCAGTTCGATGTTTTGACCGGTCAAAAATCGAGTAGTTTGAAAAGATGTGTGAGAGCTCGCATTATCGTGATGAAGAATTATTTTGCGACGGTGGTTGTTTTTTCTTATTTCACCAAACACTTCGGGCAAACAAATGGTGGTATACCAATCAGAATTGACGGTCTTACGATCCTCTAGTGGAACGGTTGCCACATGACCACTTCTCCCGAAAAAACAGGCGACCATTCGCTTCGAAGTGCTTCTTGCTCGAACAACTTTCGTTGGGTTATCTTCATTTTGGAAGACCCATACAGTCGACTGCTGTTTCGTTTCGGGCTCATAGGCATATATCCACGATTCGTCACCAGTGACGATTTTATTAACGTCTTTTGAAGCACCACGATTGAATTTCTTGAGCATTTCTTTACACCAACTCCAACGAGCCATTTTTTGTTCATCGGTCAATTTATGTGGGATCCAACGAGAGCAAATCTTTTTTACGGCTAAATGTTCATGCAAAATTGTATGTATGCTGTGGGATGAAATGCCCAAAGATGCCTCAATCTCACGGTAGGTCACATGACGATCTTCCATAATCAGTTTTCTGACAGCATCGATGTTTTGTGGCACAACAGCCGATTTTGGACGACCTGTATGAAACTCGTCTTTGAGCGAACTACGACCGCAACGGAATTCTCGGTACCAGTTATAAATTGTCTGAAGGGTTGGTGCTTCATTGCCAAAGGCCAAATGAAGTCGATCGAAACACTGTTGTTGAGATAATTTACTTCGAAAATCGTAGTAAATCATTTTACGAAAATCTTCACGTGTAAAATTCATTTTTTTGTTGAGTCGCAGTTTACCAGTCACTGTAAACAATACAAATAGCGTTCGTACGACAAAAGGTTCAGGGCACGAATACATACCAAAACATCAAACTTTACGAATATGACAATGGTTTACATCGGGCAACACTATAAGTACCATTTTAAAAAAAATTATGGAGCAACCTACGTAAAATGGACCATATTCAATTTCGATCCAAACAATATGCAATATCTTTAATAAGCCATATATGCAGAGTGTGTGTGTGTGTGTGTGTGTGTGTGTTCACCTCGGCCATAATGAGAAAGATTCACCCGGTTTTTGTGTTGGTTGGCTGGATAATATTGGTGTGTGACCTCCATTTCATGGTTGATGAATCGAGTCTTACTCATTCTCTTTGGGTGTCTTTTTCATTCTATGCTCTGTATGTGTCATGTTTGTATGCACAACACTTTATCTTTTCCCAAAAAGTTTTTGATATCCATTAATTTGTCTCGACACACTTAAATGAACACACACACACAGATTGCATTGACAGTTTTACCATAGTATCTTATTTCACTTGAAATATTCGATGCACACACACAACACGCGCATCGCATCGATACAAATCGCACACGTAAAATGAAACTGCGCGCTTTTTTAACTCTATCTCCAATGCTCAGCCCAAATCTACCGACACATTGGATAAGATTGTACATTTACGTTGCAACATGGTGGATGATAAAACGTTCTTGATTTTACGAAAAACCGAGATTGATAATAACGAACGCAACAAGCACATTTGACATGATGTATTTTCGATGAAAAACAAAGCGCAAAAAAGACACCGCGATGTGGTGTGAGTGCAGTTTTTAGTCGACCTCCCGTGTGGCATATGCTATTAAAACATGTGGTTTTTCTTTTACCGAATTCGTCGGGCAATTTCACTCCTTCTGTTATTCATTTTTCGCATCAAATGGAGAGGCTAATACTCACGTTTTGGGTGCCCTACGTTTTTTTTTTCACACCAAAACATTCGATGCCATTATTCGGTGTTCTATTGCGTTCGACGTGCTTCATTGAATGCACAAACATTTCACTATCTTACAACTCCCATAGCGCAATTCACCTCCCGCTATTACTTTTATAGTAACCGTCTCGCATTTTAGTTTAGTTCACCTTTTCTCACCGAACCTCATCGCGCTCTGACTGACATATTCCTATCAGTGTGGTACAAACATTGTATGCATGTATGTTTGGGTGGATGGGTGCATAAAAAGTTACTTGGAACAAACATGATCGCGTGGTAAATTTTCGCACTGACTATAAATTGAATGGAATTTTCGTGTGCATGACACACACTTCATTAAAATAAACATTCCACATGGTGATATGGAATGAGCAAGAAACAGAGAGTCTCTCCTGCTCTTGAAGGTGAAAGAGAAATGGAGAAAGAAAAAAATGAAAAATCCTTGATTTGATATCTCTTGCACTCGCAAACTTATAACTATCGTTGTGTGCAAATATTAAGGAAATTATCGGACTGAATTTTTTTTTCGAACAATGTATGTCTTCGAAGAAACAGATAGGGGAGGTGAGACGAGGAAAAGAAAATGAGAACGAAAATCGGAATGATGGCGAATGAAAAGCGCAAACAAAAGATGTCTGAAGCATGCAATATTAATAATGATATACGGTGTTCTCGTGATTGCGTCGAATATTTACGTACTTCGTACTGCTTTGCACTGAACACAAGCGACTGCGAATGAGAGAAAGAGAAAGAGAACATCAAATGAGCTCATGAATTCACCAAAGATAGAGCATAACATCGAAATAAAACACGAAAATTTCGCCAACAACAAAATACCAGGTGCCATTGCTGTTATTTCTCTCCTTCCCACCATTGCGCCAATGCACTGTACAAACATACTTTTTACCTGTACATTTTTCACGACACTCGGCACGCAATCATTTATTATTTGCTAATAATAATAATTTGCCATTCGCAGACACATATATGTGAATTGTGAAAGTTGCCTATAACCCATGACGCGTTCGTAACTATAAAAATGATTCATACATACATTTAATCCAATTGCAAATCGTTTAAAATTCATCTCATTTTATGCTCGAAATTTGTATATTTGATGAAAATTCGGTTCGAGAGCACGGCCTCAATCTTAATCAAGCGCAAACGTGTTGTAATATCAGAAAAAGTATTTTTATGTCACCAATCTGGGCAAAACACATAAACATTTATAAATTTGTATTCTCAATGTGTGTACTCACTCGCACCGACACATTTTCATTTCCATTTGAAATGCAACAAGCCTAATGATATTTAATAAAATAAAAGTTGAGGTAAATTAAATAAATCCACGGCTTTCATATGTGTCATATTCGTGAATTCAAATTTTATGGGCTTTTGCATTTCATGTTCTCTGATTATTATTTTTTTTTCGAAAATTCTCTGTAAAATGCTCAGCGAAAAAAGACCTTCACCATTAAATCAAAAATAATAATGCAGCCTCTGACAACTGCAAAATATTAAATCATTTCTGTCAGTCGAAATGAATGGTGCAACGCTTTTTTTCTCTTCTCTCGGTCGGTTGAAAGTGCACGCGTGTTATACATGCAATCGAAATCAAAACCAAAAAGGGAGTGAGAAAAAATGGGGAAAAAAAGCAACAACAACAAAATCATCATGAAAATAATATTTTAATAATTTTCGCAAAATAAACGAAAATGTGATTGTTTAAATTGAATGACAACAACAAAAAAAGTACTGTGGGAGAAGGGGAAGAGAGACATGAAACGAAAAGAATGTCGACCAATTTCATATGCTCATCAGTCGCATAGCCTTGGCCATTAACAACGAGAGAAACAGCGTGTTTGACAGACCAAACATGCATAACAAGCAAAATTGAATCGTGACAAATGATTTAATATGGTCAGAATAAAGCTCAAACCGAAAATAGAATGCGAGTCAAAGCGAAAGCGAGAGGATGACAAACAGAGAGAGAGAGGGGAGGGAGTATGGAATCTGCAGCGAACCTAACAACAACAACATCACCGAGAAATCATTTTACCAGCGGTGTGATAATCACGTTTGTCCTGATTCAGCACAAAAATGGGCCAATGGTAAAAAAAATAAGACCTGCTAGTTAACTGTACATTTGTACAAACAGCAAAAATCATTTTGTGGCTATTTTTCATTATGAAAAAGTTTCAGCAGCTGTGGTCGTGCAAAAAGGCGTTTTTATCATAAGATCGAACCGACATCCATCCCGTCCGGCACCCATGCTCACAAATATGGTCCACACACCCACACATTCGGTACAAATACATAATAACAAATGACTCGACAAACGACTTGAAATTATGTGGCGCAAAGTACGAGATATGCCAAGGATGATGTGTAAAAATCATTTTTCGGGGGCGAAGAAGTCTCTCGACATTTACTCTTTTCGCAGCGCGGCGGCCACATATTATTTTTGCTTTCTTTCATTCTCTCTCGTTCATTCAGTACCACTTTGACATATCGCAATTAAAAGTTTAACGACATACAATCCAGTTAATTGTTTCAAATAAATTTCGAAATGTGAATGAAAAAACGAAAAGAAAAAAATCCACCACCACCAAACGAACGAAAACGGAAACAAATGCGAGAATTTTTCCACCGGCAATAAACCATGAATACCAAGCATATTTGTAACAATGAACGATGCCGAAAACGAGCCAACGAAAGCGATAAAACCGACGAAACTTAGATTCGTATCGTTGTTTTTTATTTTTAACGCTTTTCACTTATTCCCGTCGAACCCTTTGAAATGCATACATACGTATAAATATATGAATTGTCGACGCTATCGTTCCATATCGCGCTCACACAAAAACACACATCGAGACAAC